GAAAAAAAAAATGCGAGTTTTTTCCTTTTACTTATTCTAATATATATATTATACATATTATGCAGTCTGGCATGTGTAAAACTTGCGTATAGTCAATAGTCTTTCGTAAGCAGTATGGTTCTTTCTCACGTGCCTGTTTCATGGCGATCCAATCGCTGAATTTATCATTCATTGTACTCATTATATACTGATATTTCAATAAAGCACGCACGCGCTGCCGTGTGGACACTTCCCTAAAGTCTGTTTAGTATTAAATGGTAAATGATTTATATTCGTTTGAGCGGGGGAGCGAATTAGAATATAAATGGTATGTATTTTTGTAATTTCTCCCTTTGTTTATAACTCATAATTCGTTTGTAATTTCGCCATATAGTTTCATCATCTGATACCGGTAAAATAATCAATTAAACTAGTTTACCGCTACATCTAGAATTGTACTCTAGTTCAAGAAATGCTTATAAATGTTATGGCTGTTCAAACATCTGCTGTATGGATATTTTGAGTATTTAAAAATATTGTGTTACAATCATAACAGAGAGTTATGAGAGTTATAAAACGTCACATTGTAACCAAACTCATGCCTAGTTATATATCTTACCCTAAAATTATACTGTAGAATCACAAAGGCGGATACAGCTGAAATCTTATCGTAAAAATCATATATATTTTGGCAAGACTCGAAGGATCAAATCATTTTATATTTTGTATCGTTAAGGTTTTAAAAGGCCTTATTTATTAATGTTTTTAACAACATCGCGTACAACAATTAGGACACGTGTACACCCTGAACACAGTGTCTAGTTCGCTTTGAAATCGAAAATGGAGTATTACACTTTTTAGGACATGGACGCTCCTAGTAACCCATGACAAAGTCAAATGTTTTTTTTTTCCTGACATTCACTAACTTTTTTGTTTATAATWGTTGCACAGCGAAGGTTGGCGTTTTTGAACAAGGAGGGATTTGACAGATTTGGTAAAAATAAACTTTTTGCACCTCTTCTTAAATGGGAAGCTTTCAAGGAAGAAGTCAAAACAATTCAAGCTTATGCAACAGCATATGAAAATGCATATAATGAATTGAAACAAGYCATTGAAAGGAAGGACGASACAGAGACGATATTGARAGCAATGCCACGCTCTGCTTTAACTCAAGTAAACGCACAAAAAGAACGACTCATTCAGGACAAGAAGATAGCACTYACCGAGAAGTGGCTATATGTACCGGTATGACTAATAGTTTTCTTCAAGTTTCCCTGCGCCATCTTGAAATGTAGCCGTGCCTTTGCATCGAACTCGTTCCCAGTCTCCTTTTGAATTTCGGAACGGCCAATAGTCTCAGTTGCACGGTTAAGTGCGCCATCTTGAAAGGTAACCATGCCTTTGCACCAAAGCGAGACAACCGTTGAGCGTGCAATGATAGATACCTGTGAATAATTTCCTGTAGGTGTGAAAGAAGGTTTTTATCATTGCACGCTCAACGATTGTCTCGCTTTGATGCAAAGGCATGGCTACCTTTCGAAATATAGAAATATATAGAAATAAAAATGAATAAATAAAGACTTTACTGGGAACGAGTCAGAAAATAGTCTACTTATTGAAAATTAAATCTCACCACATGAAAGACCACACTACAATTAGTGTTCTTCTCAATTTTGAGACTATTCTGTTGAATACTCACCGAGTAGGGTTTTTTTCAAATTTGTAAAAAATAAACCTGTTTCGGGGATAGGAATTAGCGTTTGGGTAACGAATTTTGCAGTAATAGT